TATAGACTAGAGGCCTGGTGCATGACATTCATGCACTGGGGGGGGGGTGGGGCGGGTGGGGTCCCTCAGCCCGGCCTGCGCCCTTTAGCAGTGCAGGAGCCCTCGGGGGATGTCTGACTTAGGGGGAGGGCCTAAGCCACAGTGGGACATCCTTAGTGCTGCCTCAGAGGTGGAGAGGCTTCCGCCACCACCACTGCACTCGCCAGCCGTGAGCCCCACTTGTAGCTAGTGGTGCTCCCTGCATTGACCATCTGCCCCCTGGTGGTCAGTTTGCCTCATAGCACCCGGTTATTCCACTGTTGGGTCGATTTGCATATTACCCTTTTATTATATAGGATTATTTTGACATCTTTAAGTGGACAATAGAGGATACACTTGAATTATGTCATGAAGTCTGGAGTAGAAAGAAGGCAACACATATATAACTAGAAAGAGATGTAGGGATTTACTACTTTTTCAAGTTGCATACTTTTTAAAAAATGGAAAACTGATAAGTAATCAAAGCATGTAATAGAAAGGCATACCATAGTCTGGAAATGCTTTCTCCTCTTTTCAACTGGGTCCTGAATACAACTGGGCCATCTTGAGACTTGACCCTTTCCTCCCATCATATCCAAAAGAGGAAAAAGAAAACCCTCACATAGGCCACACCAATTAAAGCAGAAAAACTCTTGAAAAGAAATGCAAAACTTATTGAATTTTGTTGAGGGCATTACGAAGAGTACTAAACAGGCATCACACAGGGAAACATTTATTTTTTCATTATATCTTTCCTCCAAATTCCTGCCTTTATTGTAATCACACATTTTGTTTCCTCTCTAAACTCTATCGCTCAGATTCTTTCTAGATCTTCTCTGATACAATCCCCACTTTTTTCCCATCCCCTATTTTTTTTCTGTTCTTAAATGGCCTTTAATTTGCTTCCTTCTTTGTCATCCATGCTTCATTCTGTTGCAGAGTGAAACCACAGTTTGGCCTCTTTAATTCTATAGTAATCTCTACCTGTAACCTCCAGCACAATCACCTCTGTAAATCAGCATAACAAAAAAGTGCAGTTGAGCAACTGAAAGTCTCTCACAGGCTAAAGAAGGGGGAGATGGTGAACATCTGACTTTTAGGGTTTGGACCCCTTCTATCCCTTCATTTGCTTCTGGTGATTATTATCTTGTTTCTTTTTTTTTTTTTAAATATATTTTATTGCTTTTTTACAGAGAGGAAGGGAGAGGGATAGAGAGTTAGAAAGATCGATGAGAGAGAAGCATCGATCAGCTGCCTCCCGCACACCCCTACTGGGGATGTGCCTGCAACCAAGGTACATGCCCTTGACCTGAATCGAACCTGGGACCCTTCAGTCTCCAGGCCGACGCTCTATCCAGTGAGCCAAACCGGCTAGGGCTATCTTGTTTCTTATCATTTGTCAGTTACAGGTATCTAGAGTCTATTGAGCTCTGTAGAGAATTTATTCTGAGTACATATAATGTTATGTATTATTTGAAAAGCAGACTTAAAGTGGGACCTGAGTTTTTAGCATCCTTTTCGTAATCACTGGATTCAGTTAAATCTGACACCAAAGAAGCTAGTGTGACATGCGTTCATTTCTTTTTATCATGAGACTTTACGTGACTGATTATCATGTCAAGCTTCTGGCTTCAAATATTTGTAAGCAGCCTTTGGGGCTATGGTCAGGGGAGTTGTAGGAAGACTATGAATATATATATTCTACTTGTCAAGCACTTATCCGAACAGGACTGGTGTCCCGTGAAACATATTTAAAACCATTTCCATTCAACCACCACCCCAGAACTAATCACCAAACCAGGGGAAAGAGAATAACGTTCTTACTTAATGTATGAGAGGTTTAGGAAAAACCAATAATGAGAGGCTTTCAATTGTTTATTTACTTATTTTTATTTGCTCTTATTCTTGCTGTCAAGTCTTGTATGAGTCAGGGTTCAGTCAGGGGATAAGAACCAAAACAATAATGCGAACAGGAAAACTTAAATATAAAGACTTAACAACTAGGTATGGGATGGTTAACTACTAAAAGAGGTAAAAGATCCCTAAGGTAAGGCATTCAGAGGTAGCAAATGTAGAAAGAAGCTACTCCTAGCACTTAGGGAAAAGTGAAAAAGGAAGAAACTTCTGGAAGATTCTAGAAGAAAGGGTCTCTCACCAGCTGAGAGTTAGAACCCGGATGAGAGGCAGTGGCTACCTCTGGAACATGTTACCTGGTGGGAAAAGTGGATGGAGGCTATCTGCTGTTGCAGAACTTTGAGAGCTTCCACTACTGAGGAGAAGGCTTTCAGAACCCCAGGAACGCGGGTTTTCCCACCACAGGGGAAAACAAAGAACAGGACTGGTGTCCCGTGAAACATATTTAAAACCATTTCCATCCAACCACCACCCCAGAGCTAATCGCCAAACCAGGGGAAAGAGAATAACATTCTTACTTATTGTATGAGAGTTTTAGGAAAAACCAATAATGAGAGGCTTTCAATTGTTTTATTTACTTGTTTTTATTTGCTCTTATTCTTGTTGTCAAGTCTTGTATTAGTCAGGGTTCAGTCGGGGGATAAGAACCAAAACAATCATGTGAACAGGAAAACTTAAATATAAAGACTTAATAACTAGGTATGGGATGGTTAACTACTAAAAGAGGTAAAAGATCCCTAAGGTAAGGCATTCAGAGGTAGCAAATGTAGAAAGAAGCTACTCCTAGCATTTAGGGAAAAGTGAAAAAGGAAGAAACTTCTAGATTCTAGAAGAAAGGGTCTCTCACCAGCTGAGAGTTAGAGCCCAGATGAGAGGCAGTGGCTACGTCCGGAACATGCTACCTGGTGGAAAATGTGGATGGAGGTTATCTGCTGTTGCAGAACTTTGAGAGCTTCCACTACTGAGGAGAAGGCTTTCAGAACCCCAGGAACGCGGGTTTTCTCACCACAGGGGAAAACAAAAAACTAGAAGAGGAAACCCTCACTCCTCCCTCTCCCAGTCTTGCAGTCTCTCTCCAGCTCCCGCTATGGGCAGAACCTAACACGGAGCCCCCTGGCAAAGGAGAAATGAAGGCTGCAGAGCCTGATTCTGGTATCATGAAGCAGCCAAAAGGATGTGTGTGGAGATAAAAGGTAATAAATTAAGAAGTAGAGTGACCCAATTCATCATTGTCATTAAAGAAAATTAACTCACTAAGCAGTATTATCTACCTTCTAGCACTTTTTAATTTGGGGCATGAGAGCTTGGATGATTATAATGACATCAACAAAAGTATAAATCAAGTTTCCTAAATGTACACTAAGTTTTATGGGACATGTATAATTTACAAGAGAAGGGGTTTCTGATTAGCTGTTGCTCATTCAGAAACACCATAAAATCAAGGAATATGGGAAAATTCTTTAGAGGCCAAGCCTAGATACTCAGCTTCCATTATATATGGGAATTCTGACTATAGTTCACCATCTAAATTCTTTTTGTACTACTTTTAACAACCAGGGGTTAGTTCACAAGCTGATAAGCCACTTTTTTTGTCTAGAAAGTTCTAATTTTCAGAGAGCCAGGGGTTAGTTCACAAGCTGATAAGCCACTTTTTTTTTTTGTCTAGAAAGTTCTAATTTTCAGAGAATTTCTTCTTATCCTGTGCCAAAATCTGCTTCTTTTTAACTGTCTGGCACCGTGCCTCACTTCATTGTACATAATGTACTAAAAACTTCTGTGATAACCACTATGTCAGCCCTCCAAACAGTTGAGATTCTGTCTTAGCTTGTCCCTGGCTGTGGTAGCTAACCATCCCTCACATGGCAGTTTCTGTAGCCCCACATCACTATTGCTTCCTGACACCTCCCAAAATGTGATGCTCAGAAATGACTTTAATAGTTAGATATGACAAGACCGATGCAACATAAAGTGGAGATATCACTTTTAGGGTCTGGATACTATATACACATGAATGTTGCCTTAAGATTTGAAGGGCTCTTTCAACAATTACAACACATTTTGGCTTGAGTTACCACCCTTCTCCAGCTGCTCCCATCATTACTAAAACCTAGGGATGAAGATCAGGGGTTCATTGAATTGTTTTTATATAGAAAAAATATGTAACACATCTTGTTCCAAGAATAATATAAATTTACATACTAAATCATTCTTCATTTTCCCAAAGATAGCCCTCCCGGCTGGGGTAGCAGGAAGGGATGGTGTGAAAACATTCCTTGACTGCTCTACGCCTCCTCATAAGCGTTCAACATTGGCCTTAGAAATAGGAAAAGCAGAGTTTACCTATGACTATCATGTCAAAAGTGAAAGTTTGCTATTGAGCTAAATTATTTTGTAATTACTCTTCAGGGAGGGTTCCTGACATTCTCATTTCCTCTCTGTGACCTGACACGAAACATGCTGAGACAGAAGTGCTCCTTTACAAAGCAGTGTTTTATAAATGGGGTCTGCTTCCTTCCTTCTGCTTACTCTGGGGTCCAGAACCCTGACTGTGGTTGTTAGTTTAAGGTCTAAGAAGCCGCGGAACCTGTCTCTAAAGATGCTTGGACGGGTTCTTTAACTTTGTGTTTAAGGAGGCAGGAAAAGGGTTTGTCTGAAAATGATAATATACGCTTAAAATACACGTATAAATATCATATATGTGAATGAAATACTCATTTTATGACGCAAAAATTTAAGCATAAGTACCTGCTACAAAAGCATGAACTGTGTACGCTAGAGTTCTCTTCCCTGATACCTGATTAATTTCTTCACCTCTTTCAAGTTTTTGCTCAAATGTCACCTTTTCAGCGAGGCCTGGCTTGACCTACTGTTTGACATTTTGCAAATGTTCCCTTCTCCCAAACTCATCTGCCCATTTCTACTCTACTTTTTCTTTTTCCACAGCCTTTAATGTTTTCAAAGAGACTGAATCATTTACTAATTTATTGTGTTTAAGGCTTCATGCCAATCTTTTCTCCTCTCACCCACCCAGATCCTTCAGTGTTAAGGTCCTTGAGGGCGGGTCTCTTTGTCTCTTTGTTTTCTTTGGACTCTGATGTAACACAAGAAATATTTGCTGAAATAATGACATTCACTTTCAGTTTCTTCTCACAAGCTGGTGATCATTATCACAGACAAGCCTATAATCATTGTCCTGGTTAGCTTGAATTTTCCTTTCTTCCTAATGGTCCAAGTTCTGCAGCTTCTCTTACGTGCACTCCATCAGATCTTACTCTTACCGACTGCCTGGATTGCTGTTTTGCTGCTTTAGCCCACTCCCCAGCTCTGTGAACTTAAATAACATACAGCCCTTAAATGAACCCGAGGCTTCGCTTGCCTTTGACACACTCTGCAAAATGCAGGCGGCTGGCTCTGTTTGCCCTGCAGCTCCTTCTAACCGGATCAGCTCCATCCCCAGCCTTGTCTCGGGGTCCCTGGGGAAGGTTACACTTTATAATTGTCCTCTTCAGTGAGAAAGTCCCTGTCTGAATGGGAGCTGCAATGACACTCACGTCAGCGTGCAGCCCTGTGATGCTTTCTGGGCAGCACAGTGAGCCTCTTCTCTGAGCAAGCAGAACTCGGAGTGTCACTGTTTAACCATTTCCTGTCCGGCTGCTGACCGATATCC